GAATGCGAAAGGATGGCCCAAGACGCTCCCAAGCAGCCCAAGTCAGCCTTCCGACGGCTCTCGAGGCTCCCAGGTGGCCTCCAAAAGACCCCAAGAGAGGTCCGAGAGGCGTCCGGGACGGCCCGAAGAGGCTTGGCTTCTCGCGTCCAAGACCGCCACAAGACCACCCAAGAGACCCTCAGGACGGCCCCAAGACGGGCCAACAAGGCTCCAAGACTGCTGAAGAGGCGCCCAGGACAGCCCCAAACCACCCCAAAACAGGCCCAAGATGGGACGGCAGGCCTCCGGGACCACCCAGAGGCCCCCAACACACCCCCGATCCCTGAGAGGCCCCGAACAGACCCCGACGAGGATCCAAGAACAGCCCCAAAGAGCTGCGAGAGCCGTCCCGAGAGAGCCCAAAGAGGGTAACATCGTTGGTTTCCACTGTTTTTTTCCCATGCGTTTCGCCTTCTCACGTTTTCCCGCATCCAACCTTCAAAGAACGAGGAACTTGAAACAAAAAAGGAATTCCGAATATTCCTTTTTTTCCAAAGTGGAACTCCTACTCGGAGATCCCACACATCCCCTGAACGTCTGGCCGGTACCGCGCCGCCCGGCTTCTTGGGGAATCCCCAAGACGCCGAAGGACAGCCCATGGCAACCCCAAGAAGCTCCCAGAGGCGCCCAGTACGGCGCCCCCCCCCCCTTTTTTTTCAAAATGGACTCCTACTCGGGGTCCTACACATCCCCTGACATCTGGCCGGTACACGCCTCCCAGCTTCCCAGAACGACAGCCCAAGACGACCCCAAGGAGCCCCCAGAACAGCACAACACGCTCCCGCGCAGCCCGAGGCACCCTTCCGACGGCTCTCCAGGCCTCCAGGAGGCCTCCAGAACCCCCAGGGTTCTGGAAGATCCCACACCCCTGAGGGGCCCGGCTAACAAAACCCGCGATGACACAAACAAAAAACAGCGCCGAACAGCGCCGAGGAACTGGAAACAAATGTGAATCCCACAATTCCTTTTGTTCCTCCAAGTTAGTTAAGCCCTTGGGGTCGTCTTGGGGTCCTTGGGACCGTTTTGGGCTGTCCTTGGGGGTCTTGGGGGCCCCCTGGGAAGCCAGGCGGCGCGGTACTGGCCAGATGTCAGGGGATGTGTGGGATCTCCGAGTAGGAGTCAACTTTGAAAAAAAAGGGGGCGCGGTACAGGGTGCCTCTTCGGCAATTTTGGAAGTTTCTCGGCCCGTCTTGGACCTGTCCTGGGAGTCTTTTGGGCTGTTTTGGACCGTTGGAAGCTCGAAAAAGCGAGAAGGCCAAAAACATAGAAAAAACTATCAGAATCGACGCTTCGTGCCTCTTCGGGCTTTCCCAGGACACCTCTCGGACCTGTCTTGGGGCCTGGGAGCGTGGAGAGCCGTCCACAGGGTGTTTTGGACTGCTTGGGAGCGTCTTGGGCCGTTCTTTACGTTCTGGGAGTTTCTTGGGGTCGTCATGGGCTGTCCTTCGGCGTCTTGGGGTCTCCCCAAGAAGCAGGGAGGCGCGGTACCGGCCAGATGTCAGGGGATGTGTAGGACCCCGAGTAGGATTTCCACTTTGAAAAAAAAGAATTCTTGGAATCCCTTTTTTCTCAAAATCCTCGTTCTTTGAAGGTTGGATGCGGGAAAACGTGAGAAGGCGAAACGCATGGAAAAAAAACAGTGGAAATCAACGATTTAACCCTCTTTGGGCTCTCTCGGGACGGCTTTCGCAGATCTCTTGGGCTGTGCTTGGAGCCTCGTCGGGGTCTTTCTGGGGCCTCTCAGGGATCGGGGGTGTGTTGGGGGCCTCTGGGTGGTCCCAGAGGCCTCTCGGAGGTCTCTGGAAGCCTCCTGCTCCCGCTCTCTGGCCCATCTTGGGCCTGTTCTGGGGTGGTCTGGGGCTGTCCTGGGCGCCTCTTCGGCAATGTTGGAGCCTTCTTGGCCCGTCTTGGGGCCGTCCTGAGGGTCTCTTGGGTGGTCTTGGGGCGGTTTTGGGAGCCTCTTCGGCGCTCTTGGACCGTTGGAAGGTCGAAAACGCGAGAAGCCAAACAGATTGAACAAACTGAGCAGAATCCACGATTTTGGCCTCAGGCCGTCCCGGGACGCCTCTCGGACCCCTCTTGGGGTCTCTTGAAGGTCACCTAGGGGCCTCGGGAGCCGTCGGAAGGCTGACTTGGGCTGCGTGGGAGCGTCTTGGGCCATCCTTTCACATTCTGGGGGCTCCTGGGGGGCGTCTTGGGCCTTCCTGGAGCGCTGTGGAGGCTCCCCAGAAAGGCCGGGGGAGCGGTACAGGGAGCGTTCCCGAGATGTGGCGGGGAGGTGTAGGACCCGAGGGCCGGTGTGTGTCTATATATATATATATATATATATGTACGCGTGTGTATACACATATATATATATATATGTATACATTTATATATATATATATGAATTATATATATATATATATGTATACATATATATATATATAGATATATGTATCCTCCCCTCGGCTCTGGCTGTCGCACTGGCCCGCTTGTGGCTAGCCGAATTTGGAGGCTGCCGCTCCTGCTTGAGCTGCCACTCCGGCTCTGTGCAATCCCGCGCCCGCCGTATGAAACACTGCAATTGCGCGCGTGCGGCCACTGCCGAGACAAGCATATGGATGTTCATGTACATGTGTGTGCTCGAGAAGTTTGTTTGTTTGTGTGTGTGTGCATATCTGTGTGTATGGGCATTTGCAACATCATACGATACATGCAATATAATGGCATGGATGATGTTTCTAGGGCCGACCCCCTATCGCAGCACGCAGCCCTCGAACATCGCCCCCTCTGAGATTATTGCTTTCCGGCGGTCTCTTGCGGCTTCCAAGCGACCGATGTGGCCTCCGTGGCGGCTTCTCGGACAGTCAAGACGACGCCCAAACGGCTCCACCTGGCGCCAGAAGGCTCCACGTGGCTCTGAACACGGCCCCCATACGGCCCAGTAGGCCCCCAAGACGGTCCAAGAGGGCACCAAGAGGCCCTCCAGGAGAGGTCGAGGAGGCCCGAGCCATTGCTTTTCCAATGTTTGGAAGGATTTTGAAGTTCTCGCCCTTTCTGGTCCCCGACCGTCCAAGACGGCCCAAAGGGTATCCCAAATAGCTCCAAGACAATCCGTGAGGCCCCCGAAGAGGGCTCCGAGTCGACCCAAGAGGACCCCATGATCGCCCAAGCGGCTACCAAGAAACTCCCAAGACGGCCCTCAAACGCCCCAAGAGGGCACTTAGCGGGCTCAAAGAGGCCCCAAGAGGCCCCCCGAATGCGTCAGAGGGGCCAATCCCACCCCTAAGACCGCACATGAGTCGCCCCAAAGCCACAAGGGTCCCCCAAAGGCCCCCAAGAGGCCCTCCCGGAGGCTCCCAGGAGGCCCTGGGAGGCCCCCAAAGGGCTACAAGAAACTTGTTCCTCCTCGTCCTCATGTTTTCCCTTTCCTCCTCCTCCTCCTCCTCCTCCTTCTCCTCCTCCTCCTTCTCCTCCTCCTCCTTCTCCTCCTCCTGCTTTTCCTCCTCCCTCTCCTCTCTCCTCCTCCTTCTCCTCCTCCTCTCCTCCTCCCTCCTCCTTCTCCTCCTCCCCTCCTGCTCCTCCTCCTCCTCCTCCTCTCCTCCTCCTCCCCCTTCTCGTCGTCGTCCTCCTCCTCCTCCTCCTCCTCCTCCTCCTCCTTCTCTTCCTCCTCCTCCTCCTCCTCTACATTATCCTCCCCCTCCTCCTCTCTTCCACGTCCCTCCTCCTCCTCCTCCTCCTCCTCCTCTCCCTCCTCCTTTTCCTATTCCTCTTTCTTTCCTCCTCCTCCTCCTCCTCCTGCCCCTCCTCCTCCTCCTCCTCCTCCTCCTGCCCCTCCTCTTCCTCCTCCTCCTCCTCCTCCTCCTTCTCCTCCTCCTCATCGTCTCGCGAATCATATCGATCGCGAACGGGACGTCCGCGCACGTCTGAAGGCCACCCGTCAGGCGAACGCGAAGCGGAGCTGGCCGCAGGCGAACTCCATGGGCAAGGAGGGGGAGGAAAGACAGGCGGCGTCGCCCCTGAGCGGGGGACGCACTATCGCTGACTCTTCCGCTGCACCGCCCCCCCTGCTCCAGTGCCCGCGCCCCCGCCACCTGGGCAAACCAGGCGCAAATGCGGGCAACAGGCCTGCTATCCAAGTGGGGCTAGAAGGCGGCCACGCGAGCGCCAAGCGTCGCGTCCCGTTCTGTGATGAGCGCGGCCTTCAACGCGGCCCCGCCGCCGTCCGTTTTCGCCGCCGCCCCAGCAGCAGTAGCAGCCGCCGCAGGCTCACCATCCGCGGGCCGCTCGGCGCCCACCCTCGCCGCCGAGCCCAGCTCCAGGCGACTCACGAGTGAGGGGCGCCACGCCAGCTGCCTCCAGCACCGCGGCAGCAGCGACAGGCGCCACGGCGGACGCATCGGCCGAGGGCGCTGGGTGGGACACGCCGTCCGCCCAGCCGTCGTCCTCGAGGCCGACACCGTCGCCGTCGCCGCCTGCACCGCCAGAAGTCGATGCCGGGATCACGACACTCCCCAGCTCAGACCACTCGCTGAACGGCCCCGGGGTGTGCAGTCGACCTCCTTCCTACCACGTGGACGATGACGAGGTCGAGTCCACGACCCGTCCTTATCAGACCACTCGTCGGAATTGCGCTGTTCCTACACTCAACCTCCTTCCTTCCTGCTGCGCTGCTGCACTGGCGCGGCGGCCGGGTTTGCCGCAAGCAGCTGGATACATGGTCTGCCATATCATGTTGCAGGGGGATTTGTACTCTAGCGCATGGTTAAGTATACCAAATTGCGGTACACACACACTTTTAATATTGTAGAACTTGTTGCGTGCAGAACACGTAAACTGTAAGCATGTTTCAGTGTATGCCGTGATGTACGGAAGCGCGTAAATCTTTACGTGCATATCTTCACATTAAGATAAGCACTAAGATATTACAACATTGCATTTGCGAGGAAGGACAAGGAGGCCGCACCCGCCCCCGCGGCCAGCGGTCGATGCACCCGCGGTGGAAAACGTGCATGCAAGGCAAGGTCCGCACCTCCTCCTGGCGACCCGGGCGCGCGGGGCCGCCGTGGCGCGGAGGGGAGAGATACCGCGCGGCTTCCGAGAGAGCGGACGGTCTCTCTGTCACACGTTCCCCCGGGCGGCGCGACGCAACGCCCTTCCTCCTCCTCCTCCTCCTCCTGCTTGTCCTCCTCCTCCTCCTCCTCCTCCGCCTCCTCCTGCTCTTCTTCCTCCTCCTCCTCCTTTCTCCTCCTCCTTTCTTCTGCTCCTTCTTCCTCCTTCTCCTCCTCCTTCTCCTCCTTTTCCTGTGGTCTTCGGAAACATCTGGTCTTCCCTGGACGCGGGGAGGCCTCCGGGGACCCCCCCATGCTGAGAGCTCTCGTCCTCCGCCCAAGCCGTCCGGTAGCAATCACATGAAGGTCTTGGAGCGCCCTTGGACCATCTCGGAGGCCTCGTGGACCGCTTGGGGAGCGCCTCCGAAAGCCCTCCGAAAACCATCCAAAAGCCTTCCGACAGCCCCCCGAAGTCCCCCCTCGTGGGGGCGAAGGGGGTTGGGGACCAGTGGGCCGCCTCCAGACCCTGGTCGCCGAGTGTCTTACACACCTGTGCGCCGTGGCTGCAAGGTGCCCCGCACCACCTCCGCGGCATTGGGTACAGAAGGGCCGGCGAAATTCGCCGGCACAACGGGCCAGAGGCGTGCCAAGATAGTTCGCGCGCGCGTGGCGGCCCCTGCGGACCCCTGAGCGAAAAGTACCCCAGCCGATGCCCGGCCGACTCCCCCAGGGCGCTCCATGAGCGCGCCAAGAGGCCGCCAGGGCGCCCTCCGCTCGGCCCAAGAGGCCCCGACTCGCCGAAAGATCGTTCCAAGACGCTCAGGATGGACTCCAGATGGCCCCAGAGGCCGCGAAGAGTCCCCAAGAGAGCCTCAAGAGGCTCTCCAAGAGGGCCCCAGCAAGCAAAGATCGTCCCAGTCTCTTCGGGAAACTTACAGATTTCGCATGTGCGACGTTTGGGGTTCACAGCGTCCAGAACTGCCGCAGAGATCTCCGACATCGTCCCCAGACGGCCCAACACGCCCCGAAGGTGGGCCCACGAGAGCCCAAGAGGGCCCCAAGACGGCCCAAGAGGCGCCCAAGACGGCCCAAGACAGCCTCAAGAGGGGCCCCAGAGGGGGAACACGAACCACCAACTCGAGCCTTCCGCCCCAAGAAGCCCCCAGGAAGCCCCCAGAGGCTCCCAAGCCCAGGAGGCCCCCTGGAAAGTTTCAATAGGAATCGTTGTGCGAAGGGAGGCACACGGACTCGCTAGCGCAATACCAGCGCAATGCCAAAGCAGTGCCCAATCAAATGCCAATGTGGGGGAATCCTTTCGCTCGGTGGATTTCAATCAGAAACCTTTGTGGGCAGTGTCATTACGAATCCTTCTTCAGAGGATTGCAATCGGAACGCCTCTGTGGAAGGTTTTGATAGGGATCCTCCTGAGGAGGGTTTCACTCGGAATCCTTCTTGTGGGGGGTTCAGTAGGGGTCCTTCTGCGGAGGGAGCCAGTAGGACTCGCCAGCGCAATGCCAACGCAATGCCGAAGCAGTGCCATCGTAATGCCAAACCAATGCCAAGGCGGTCCCAATCCAATGCGAATGCCAAACCAGCGCCAAGTCGATCCAAACTTAATCCCAATGCAACGCCGCTGGGGCTGGATTGCTTGTTGTAGCGTTCAATCGCAATCCGTCTAAGAACCCTTCTGTGGATGATGTCATCCACAAAGGAATCCTTCTAAGGACCCTTCTTCGGAGGATTTCAATTGGCATCCTTGTGTGGAGGGATTTGCATGGAACCCTCCTGTGGAGGATTGCAATGTGAATCCTTAGTGGGGGGGTCCGTAGGCATCATTCGTGTAGACGTTTTCAATCGGAATCCTGCTGTGGAGCGTTTGGATGGGACTCGCCAGCGCAATGCCATCGCAATGCCAACGCGCTGCCATCGCAATGCCAACGCAATACCAATGCGATGCCAAAACCGTCACCAAACCAATGCCAATGCAATTCCGATGGCATGATTCCAATATTGCAACATATTCCAGCATACATCCTTCTGTGGATGATTTGGTTACGGGTCCTTCCTCGGAGGATGTCGATCGGAATCTTCTGGTGGAGGGCTTCGACAGGGATCCTTCTGTGGAGGGTTTGACCATGCACCCTTCATGTGGGGGCGTTCCAAAGGAACCCTTCGTGTGGAAGGCTTCAATAGGAATCCATATATGGTGGGAGCCATTAGACCTCGCCAGCGCAACGCCAAATCAGTGCCAACGCAATGCCTAGCCAATGCCATGGCATTCCCAATCCAATCCCAATGAAATGCCTGGGGGAAATCGCTTGTGGCCGGTTACAATCGGATTCCTTATATGGAGGGCTTCGAGCGGGTTAAATGTGAACCCTTCTTGTGGAATGCTTCAATCGGAATCCCTCTTGTGTGGGGTTCAATAGGAATCATTCTGCGAAGGGAGGTATTGGAACTCGCCAGCGCAATGCCAGCGCAATGCCAAAGCAGTGCCAACGCAATGCCAACTTGATACCAAGGCGATCCCAACCCAATGTCAATGCAATGCCAATAGGAAAAAGCATGTGTGATAGATTTCAACCAGAATCCTTATGTGAAGGGCTTCGCATGGAATCCGTCTGTGTAGGGTTTCAATGAATGAACCAGTTTTGTGGAGGGTTTCAATCGGAGCCCTTCTGGTAGAGGATTTCAGTATCAGTCCTTTCCTGGAGGGTTCCATTAGGACCCGCCAGCGCAAGTCTTGCGACATGCAAGCCCAACGCCAACGCACTGCCAAGCACCATGCCAGCGCAATGCCAATGCGATGCCAAACCATAGCCAAACTAATGCCAATGCAATGCTAAGAGGAGTATTTCTTTCTTTCGAAGCATCTCAACAACAAAAAGCTACATTCTGGGGGAAGGCGGAGGAGGAGAAGGAGGATGAGGAGGATGGCGGGGAGGAAGGAGGGCGCGGAGCAGCGCGGAGGAGGAGGGGAAGCCCCCCCGCAAAAAAAGAGGCCGCGCCGCGTTTTTTGTTTTGTTTTTTTTTGTTGGGGGGGGGGGCAGGAGAAGCAAAAAGCTAGATCCTGGGGCAAGGAGAAGGAGGGAGCGGAGCAGCGCGAATGAGGAGGAGGAGGAGGAGCCCCCCCCCAAGAGAGAGAGAGAGAGAGAGATAGAAACAACAAACAGCAACACAAAAGACGGGATGCCGCTCCGCGTTTTTTTTTGGGGGGGTGGGGTAAGAGCCGCAAAAAGCTCGATTCTGGGGGAAGAAGGAGGAGAAGGAGGAAGAGGAGACGGAGGAAGAGGAGAAGGAGGAAGAGGAGGATGAGGAGGATGATAAGGAGGAGGAAGAGGAGGAATAGGAGAAGGGGAAGACAGAGGAGGAGGGAAATGAGAAAGGGGAAACGCCCTCCGAAAGGCGTGCGACTCCACAATCCCCCGCTCTCTCTCTCTCTCTCTCGAGGAGGAGGAGGAGGAGGAGGAGGAGGAGGAAGGAGGAGGAGGAGAGGAGGAGAGGAGAGAGGGAGGAGAGGATGAGGAGGAGGAGGAGGAGGAGGAGAGGGGGAGGAGAAGGAGGAGGAGGAGGAAGGAGGAGGAGGAGGAGGAGGAGGAGGAGGAGGAGGAGGAGAGAGGAGGAGGAGGAGGAGAGAGAGGAGGAGGAGGAGGAGGGAGGAGGAGGAGGAGGAGGAGGACAAGGGGCCGAAGCCCGAGCGCGGGCCGTCGCGGGGGGCGCGGCGGGGCGCCCCGGTGGCCATCTGCTCCAGGCAGATGCTGCACTGGCCCTGCGGCCGACCGGAGGACCCCGCAAGCCGCGGCCACGGAGGTGATCACCACGGCGAGCGGCGGCGAGCGGCGGAAGCGACGCCAGCGACGGCACGCGACGGCAGAGACGACGGGCGCGAAGGCGGGAGCTCCTCGTCCTCGTCCTCGTCATCGTCGTCATCGTCGTCGTCGTCGTCGACCTCGTCCTCGTCGTCGTCGTCGTCGTCGTCGTCGTCGTCGTCGTCGTCGTCGTCGTCGTCGTCCTCGTTCTCGTCCTCGTCCTCGTCCTCCTCCTCCTCGTCATTTTGCATTGCACTGACGGTGATCAGATGATCGCAGCGTCTAGAAAACTACCCCTTCTTTATGCTCCTCCTCCCCTCCACCTGGAGGCGCTGGCGTGAAGCTCAAAAACAACTCCTCCTCCCGCTCCCTCCCTCCTCCTCCTCCTCCTCCTCCTCCTCCTCCTCCTCCTCCTCCTCCTCCTCCTCCTCCTCCTCCTCCTCCTCCTCCTCCTCCTCCCCTCCCCCTCCCCCTCCTCCTCCTCCTCCTCCTCCTCCTCCTCCTCCTCCTCCTCCTCCTTGAGCTCCCTCCTCTCCTTCCCCTCCTCCTTCTTCTCCTCCTCCCTTCAGCTCCCTCTTCTTCCTCTCCTCCTCTCCTCCTCCCTCCTCCTCCTCCTCCTCCTCCTCCTCCTCCTCCTCCTCCTCCTCCTCCTCCTCCTCCTCCTCCTCCTCCTCCTCCTCCTCCCCCTCCTCTTTCCCTCCCTCTCTCTCGTCGCCCCCTTCTGGCGTGCTGGGCCTGCGCGGGGCCCTCCGCCACGGTGCGCGTGGGAAGCCGCGCCTGGCAGGGGGCAGGCGCGCCGCCGTCGCCGTCTTTGCGGTCGTCGCTGTCGTCGTCGTCGCCGCCGCCGTGGGAGTTGTCACCTCGTCGGAGGCGCAGGGGGGTGAGGAGGGGGCGGGGGGAGCAGGAAGGAGGGGGGCGGAGGGGCGAAGAGGAGGAGGTGGACGAGGAGAGGGAACGAAGAGGAAGGGCGTGGACGACAAAGAGGCGGCGGAGGATGACGGGCAGCACGGCGAACCCACACAGTGGGCCCACGCGATAAGCTTAAGTCGGGCATGTCCCTCTACAGGAGGAGTGTTCAAACATAGTCAAAACATAGTCTGGGGACGATTTGCCGATTATTGTTTACCGTTGTTGGGTATTTCGTTGGGTATTTGTTGGCTTCTCGTACAGAATCCGCCTGTAGGGGGACATGCCCGACCCGATACGCCCAGGCGTATCTGTCCCCACCTCCATCGGGGTGTCCAAGGCGAAGCATCACTCCTTCAACCAAGCGATGGTGCGGAGGATACGGTGAAGGCATTCGAGAAAGAACACTGATATAAGCAGTCCACGGTCTGGAAGCCGGCCAAACTCCGATCGTGAATCGGCAATGGATAATACTGTCGCCTTCATCCGATAAGGAATCCTCCAGGGTCTGAAGCCTCCTTGGCCCATTCATAAACAAACGCCTCCACCGTAACTGCAAGCCTCTGCAGGAGGTGTGCGAGCAGTGCTTGGCGACTGACGCCCGCATTCCAGATCGTACTTGTTCTTTTTCTGGCAACGTGATGTGTTCGTCATACTTTGTTGGTGCGGCTTCAATCTTGACAAACGGCAAACCGTTATCTCGGTTTATCATTACGCACCTATGTACACGATCCACTTCGACACCGGGAAATGTGGTCCAATCATGCCTGTCTTTACCATTGGGGGTTGAGGGGTGAGCGCGCAACGACCCCGACCAGGAGGTGTCTGCTTCGGCTCGTGTCGTGGCTGCGAGGCGAGGCTGCGCGAGGGCGATGACGTGTCGTTGCTGTAACATTGAGCAAACTGACTCTGCCGTGCGTTTCGTCAGAGCCCGCGGGATTCCCGTGACTTGTCTCGTGGTTGGACCGTGGGTTGTCCTGTGGCTTGTCCAATTGTTGTTGGCTGTTATGTGGGCTCTCCTGTGGTTGTCGGTTGTCGCGTGGGATGTCGTGTGGATTGTCCCTTGGTTGTCACGTGGGCTGTTGGTTGTTCTGTGGGCAATCCTGTGGGTGTCCTGCAAGTTGTCTCGCGGTCATCCCGTGAACTGCCCCGAAATTTTCCCGTGGTTGACCCGAAGGTTGTCCAATCGGTTTTCCAACGGTTGTCCCATGGGCTGTTCCGTGGGATGTCCCGTGGGTGAACCCGTGGTTGGCAAGGTGGTTGACCCAAGGACTGTCCCGTGGCTGTCCCGTGGGTTGTCCCGTGCGTTGATCCGTGGGTTGTCCCGTGCGTTGATCCCGTGGGATGTCACGTGGAAATTTCGTTGGTTGTCCCGTCACTGCCTCGCAAACTGTCCCTGGGTTGTCCTGTGGGTTGTCCCATGACTTTTCCTGTGGTGGGTTGTTCCATGATTTGCCTCGCGGGTTGTCCAGTGGTTGTCCCGTGGAATGTACACATTCAATCCAAGTGCAAACGATACGCACATCGAGCATCACATCGAAATTCACCTCAACTCGACAAGCGTATCGAAACACATATCGACATGCACCTCGAAACACACATTGCAAACCGACATGCAGCCCCATTTGAAGACGAATGATACACAGTAATGCACATCGAATGGTAAATCTGCATGTGCATAGTAGTGCATCTCGACGTGAGATTCCAATTCGAACCGGTATACAACTTGAAACGCACATCTGAATGCATGCTTGCATGAATATTTAAACGCACATCGAGATGCAAGCACATGTGCGAACCGACATGACAGTGGACATGGCCATGTAAAAGAAAATCGAACTTCAATCGCCATGCACATAGAAATTCAAGCCTTACCACGATTGAATTGCCGTTGAACTGCACATCGGAATGACCACCGACATCCCAATACCACCTACATGCAAATCGAACTCCAACTCCAATTGCAATCGACATGCAACTCGACATTCACATCGGACTTTAACCTAATTGCGATCGAAATTGGAATCGCGCTGCATACGACCGTGAAAGTTACTCAGCCCCCAACATCCTTATCACCCGAAGGATGGAATGTGATGTGAGGAGGGTTCTTCGACAGCGCTGCAGATGTTCGTGCCTTTGTCTGGCTCTTTCCCTGGTTGGTGCCACTTTTAAAGCAATCTGCATGCTCTATGGAACGGTTCCTTTTGGGCCTGCCACTTGCAAAAAATACGGCTCTTGTGGTACACCGTGCAAATGTTGTCCACCGTTCTTGCTGCTGTCCATTCTCTTCCGCCTCCCATGTCTTACGCAAATTCGGCAACATTGCCCCACCCCCTACCACTGGCCGAGGACTTGCCCTAGATGTCAAGATTGTCCACTATGTGCCGCCAGGGGAAGGGAGGGGGGAACACGAGCAGGACGAGAAGTAGGAGGATACGTAGAAGTAGGGTACTACTCAGTTCTTACTCAGTTCAAGTCCTTGACTTAGTAGAGTCTTCGTCTCCGTCGTTGGCAATGTCTATATCATGGCGTAGAACAAGGTCCCTGCGAATGCGTATGTCAGAAGCCTCCCCGCTCCCCCATGCTCCGTTCCACTCTCGGCCCCTCCACTATGGAATGGGACGCCACGTGCGGACTGCCTCACACGCTCGCGAGAATACTTTGCGCTTTGGCTCGTGCCACTGCGCCTTTCGACTGGCCGATCTTTCGCACATTTCGCGGCCTCACGCGATTCGATGCTTCGGATCTCGACTCTGCCCCCGACATCGACCAGCGACAACATACTGGATATCAACAGGAACAAACTGGTCCACTCCGTCTCCAGAATTAGGTCGGGCAGGTCCCCCTACAAGCAGATTGTGGACGAATAAAAAAGCATACTCAAACAATACTCGAACATGATCAAAAATAGTGATACCGTCCCCAGACTATTGTTGAGCTATTTTTGAATGCAAGGATCTTGCCCCCCCAAAAAAAAATCAAAGAACCTTCGAAGACTTAGCAATGAACCGCGTGCACCTCCAGAACCCCGCGAGGCCCACGCAGTGCCACCTCTTCGCGGGGGCACGCTCTGCTTTCGCCTGCCTCCGCCGGCGGAGGCCGCCGCCCCTCTGCCTCCGCGGGCCACCCTGCGGGCTCCCGCCGGCCACCCTCGCGGCGGCGGCGCACAGTTTGGACGCCCGAAGTGGGTACGGACAGAATGGGTACACTGGCCAACAGCAAATGTTGCCCCAAACCAACAGCGGCCGCTGTTGGGCAGGCGGCCTTCTGTCTCGAATGGACACAGGCCGCGGCGGCGTGGACAGCGAGTCCTGTTCAAAATGAATAGGAACTGCTGTTGGGCATTGTACCCATTCTTTCCGTACCCATTTCGGGCGTCCAGACTCAGGTTCCACCCGCTCGCCTCTGCCGCTTCCCCGCTGCTCTTCAACGAGCGTGCGGATCATCTGGCCGAACGCGGCGCAGATGGTATCTTGTGTTAGGTCGGGCATGTCCCCCTACAGGGGGATTTTGGGCGAAAAATTAGAAATACTCAAACAATACCCCCAAAGTGTTTAAAAATTGTAAAAACGTCCCCAGACTATGTTTTACTATGTTTGAGCAGTCCTCCTGTAGAGGGGCAGGCCCGACTTAAATCTTGTGTGGCCTTGCTGATGTTCATCCCTGGGCCGGCCTCACTGGCTAACCCACGTGTTCTCGGAGGACAGGGAAGCCCCTGCCCAGTCTCCTTACTCGCTTTTCTTGTCACGGCCCACCCGCCCCCACAGGGATCTCGGCCCCTTCCCCAGGACCGGCTCTTCATCCTGCGTAGCTGCTGGACGGTCCTGGGGCCAGGCAGCGGCCTCCCGAGGCCCGGGACGTAAAAAAGGCCTGCCGTCACGATCTCCTGTGGCGCCGCCTGAGTCTCGGCCCAGCCCTGCCCAAATCAGCCCAGCCCAGTCCAGGTCAGTTGCTCGGCTCGGTCCTGCGCTCTGGCTCCTCCTCATGCCTTGCATAATTACGATCGTCCCACTCCTCCTGCTCCTCGAGGCTCCTCCTCCTCCTCTTCCTCCTCCTCCTCCTCCTGCTCCTCCTCCTCCTCCTCCTCCTCCTTGTAGCTCCTCCTCCCCCCCGCCACGTCCTCACCATCACTCTTCCTCCTCATGGCCCTCGCCAAGTCCGACGCGTCCTCCTTTTCTTCCTCACTCGTATTCTGCTTTCGTTTCTACTCCATCCTTTTCCTCCTCCTGCTCCTCATCCTGCCCCACTCTCCTCCTACACCCGATACTGCTCGCCCAAGAAAGCCTCATCCTCCTCCTCCTCCTCCTCTTCCCCCCCATGCTCACTGCTGCACACCGTTTCTACCGTCCTCCACACCATCACCCTCCACACCATCACCATCACCTGATCCTCCACACCATCACCCTTCTCATAACTCCACAGTAGACAGTAGACATTAATGAAGAACGCGCCATGCGAAAGCAACTGAGATCAAACTAAGCAACAATAAAGGAGGGGAAAGAAGGGGAAGTGGGGGGCGGAGGAAAGATACCCTCGAAACCGCTCCCTGCTCAAACTGGCTCCAACCTCGGCTCCAACGCAGCGTTCCCCCGCTCCTCCTCATCCTTCTCCCTATCCTCACTCCCTTGGGTGCGCGAGGCGTGACACCGCCGGCTGCCGAACTGCCCTCTTGCCCGACCTCTGGCGTCTCGCGGCCCCGGCTCGAGACGATCTCGGACGACTGTGCCGTCTCAGTCCGGGGGGGGGGGAGGGGCGCAGCGCTGCCGCGTTGCCCCTCGGATTGACGAGTCATTGGAAAACGTTGTCATCCTCACTCCTCCTTCTTCTAGCCCCACCCAATCCTGCTGGTGCCTATCATTCTCCTCCCCCTCCTCCTTCACCCGCCTCCTCCTAGTCACTCCTCTCTGATGCTCCTTACATGTCCTCGATGTTCCTTCCTCGCCGTCCAGCTCCTTCTCAATCCTTCTCATCCGCTTCCTTATTCTCCTCCTTTCCGCCTGATGCCCCTTCTCCTCCTCACTCTGACCCGACCCCCGTGCCTCCTCGCTCTTCGTCGTCCTCCTCCTCCTCCTCCTCCTCCTCCTCCTCCTCCTCCTCCTCCTCCTCCTCACCATCCTCCTCACCATCCTCCTCCCCAGTGTTTTCGTCATGGTACCTCCTCGCTGCTGCCCTTTTGTCCTCCCCATTCCTCTTTGCTCTTGGTCATCGTTTTTCTCGGTCCTCTTCGCCCTCCCCCTCCTCAACGCCCCTACTCTCGGAGTCGACTCCCCTACTTGCCGTCCTGTTCCTCCTGCTTGCTCCTCGCTAGCCCCTTCTCCCTCCTCCTCCTCTTTGTCCTCATCCCCATCCTATATCTCATCGTAGTACTTGTCCTGCTCCCTCTCCTCGTCCTTCCTCCTCCGGATCTCCCAGAAATATGTAGCGTGGATGTCCTGATGATGCCTTTGTGATTACTTTCTGTCCCACTGCCACACTTCCGCCAATGATAGTCAGCACCGAACCAGTAAACACGGGTAACATGCAGAGTGCTGAGTCACAATTCGCAGCGTGGTGCTAGCCAATGCTCAACTTGAGAACAGGCGCCTTCCATGCCGCGAGGTACGCCTTCAGTCGTTCGCGGTCAGCTTCGGGCACCTCCGACGCACCCTTGTCGCCACACGTGAGTTGGCCCGTCAAATCGCTGAATGTCGGTCTGCCCTTCCAGAACGACTTTCCCTCAACAAAGACCTCGATATCGATAATCTCGCCGGGCTCGTCTCGCAGTTTCACCAAACGCACACGCTCACCGTCGTAATCCTTGTACTCGAAGACGTCGCCCGCCGCCCCGCTGGCAGCGCCACTGGCAGCCTCCCCAGTGGTCGGCGCCGGAGCAGCTTCTGGCGCTTCCAGTCGTTTCCTGTAGTACTCCTTCGCTTCGGTGATGGCCAAGGCCTCCTTATCTTCAGCCAAACGAACAGAAGCTGGCAATGCCAAACCATCGGGCGTCTGGATCCAGCCCATCTTCAAGAGGGCCTGCACTGCGTGGGGGACGTTTGTGATTGCTGCGGCAATTTTTGCATTTGTCAACTTTATATGCCGGTACTTATCATCATCGGGATTGTGCACAGTATTCAGCGTGAGCTTCTCGATGATTTCCAACGTTCCCAAAGCCTTCTCCAAAGGCAATTTGCGCAATGCCTCCGCAAGCGGCGTCGAATTATCCGCCATTGCCTTCAGACCTGTGTGAGGCAGGCAGAAGGCTCTCTTGGGTCCTTGGGCCAAAACAGCTACGAACTTCGAATCTACGAAGTACGCAGGGATACCTTCCGCACGAAGAAACAACCGAGACAAGGACTCCTTCGGCTGGACCCTGTCGTCGAGAACCACGAATGCCCTACCGCACATTCAAGGCGTGTGCTACCCTGGCCCAGCGCAAATCCGGATCATCCAATTTAGAAGAAACTGCGCTGCGTTTCTTTTAGGGCATCTCAAGCCTGGCTCAGCCAATCCGGAAGGCCGTGGCACCCTACGATTGGCGAAGACGGCAGCCCGCCACCAGACGCAGGGGTCGTGTCGTGACGACCTGGGCGTTGGTCTCTGACCCCGCAGGATCGTTCCAACGTGGAACGATCGGCGGTGTTCGATCGCAAGATCGTCCGATGTTGACCGGTTCTGGACCACCGGCGGTGTTCAGCCTTGAACGCACACGCTGGGGTCGCCGCCGCGTCGACACGGTACGAGCCTAGCGTGCCCGATGCTGTCAACACGGCAAGCAAGAGCCCCTTGGACCTTGATCAGTGCAGTGAGCTAGCTACCCTGCGCCAGCCCCCTGTTCCTATGAGGTGCGCGCTCTCGTGCTATCCATACTGGACGCCTAGGGATCCAGCATGGGAATCCCGCCGGGGCCCAGGATACACGAAGGGTACGCGAGGGGTCCAGGATTTCCGATGGGAGTGCCGCATAGGGATCCAGCATGGAATCCACGAAGGAGAGGTGTCCAGGGAAACCCATTGGACTCTCCATATATCTTTGCGGAAATGGTATGATCTAATGAATCTCAAGGGATGCATGGGTATCCAGATGAGCCCATCGGAATCCACAGCAGTCCATCGCGATCCATTGGGATCCATATGACTCCATCTGCCTCCATGCAGAAGTATCCACAGAGGCCCATTAGAATCAATGATAATCCACTACAGCTTCACATGAAGCAATGCAAACTCTAACACTCTGATGAAAGCCCAGAGAAATCGACAATCCAGAAACCCAAATGGGCTCGTAAGGATCCCCCTCGAATATGTAACAATATTTTCAGGCAAGTCCTTTCCAATTGGGGGTCCAGGTCGCACCAGTTCCATCCACATGGTGAGGCTTCGGGCTGCGCACGACAGCCCCCATCAGGTAGTCCTGGCTGGCCTCAACCAGCCCCCTGGGCAGTCCGGGGCGGTCTTAGCACCTCAACCCTGGGGCGCGGAGATGAGACCGCCTCGGGCTACTCGGGATGCCTGTTGAGGCCAGCCGGAACTATCTGGGGGGCCTGTCTGCACGCAGCCCAGGCTCCAGACAAGTCCGAACAGGTGCAGGCAAGTTTCATACGAGTCCAGACAGGTCCAGTTCAGAGAAGTCCAAGCAACTCCAGGCAAGCCCAAACCGAGTCCAGACACGTCCTGTCCATCCGGGCCCAATTCGAGCCCGACCTGGTCCAGATTGGGGCAGCCTGCAGGCAGAGGCGGAGCGTGCGGCGCGGGGGGGGGGGGCGGCGCCAAGAGCAGTTGAGCTGCGCCTGGGCACGGGCACAGAGGAGCCAAGAGGGAGGAGAGGACCAGGGGAGGAGGAGGAGGAGGAGGAGGAGGAGGAGGAGGAGGAGGAGGAGGAGGAGGAGGAGGAGGAGGCGCAGGAGGAGGCACAGGAGGAGGCGCAGGAGGAGGCGAGAGAGGAGAAGGAGGATGCGAAGGAGGAAGACATCACTGCTGATGCGGTAAACGATCGCGCCCCACTCTCCCTGCTCCGTGCATGAAATGCTTGTGTTCCTGTGACGCCCCCTCTGGCCTGGGACAGGGACGTGGCGAGGGGGAGGCGGCCCGCTGAGGCCCAAGTTTCCAGCGCTGTGTTGTTTCACAACGTGGCTCCCCAGGACCAGCTTTTCATCTCGAGTAGTTGTTTGATGGTCCTGGGGCCCGATGGGGGCTCACAGAGGCAGAACATGGTAAAACATAGAAGCCCTCCACGGTGCTTGTTGTTTGCACCAAGAAGATTTCGGGGGTGCTGGGATCGTGAGGATGTCAGGGATGCCGGGACAATGAGAGAAGTCGGGATGTCGTCAGACTCTCTGCCCTGCAGCAGGAAGAGGCCAGACCACGGAGTGGCGCGAACCCTTTGGTCTGCAGAGCCAGCGCAATCGATCCGATTGAAGTCAGACCACTTGACCGATGTGCGCGACGAAGAGAAACGGGCCTCACGCAAGAAGATCTAGCGACTTTACGCCACGGCTTCCGCGGGCCGCCAGCGTTGCACACCGCGTGAAGAAGAGGGCTCTGACGCGCGGCCTTACGCGTGAAGCTTACGCGCGAATGTCGGCGCAGTCGATCCCATCGTCGTCCGTCGCTCATGTGGCACAGCGCAACGAGACTCTAGGAAGCAGCCTCTGGGAGGTCTTCGCATGTCCTAGCGCCGATGCTGCATTGAACCTCTCAGGCGTTGCACCCTAAGAGTTTGAGAGGCATGGCCGTCCATCGCTGTAGCTGGTATGAGATTTCAAGAACTACCCGCGACTGCTTGATGGTTATTCCAAGCTCGTGATCGAACGACCTGAAGGAGCCTAGAACCGAACTTGTTGACGCAAAGGACCGTCTTCCTCCCGTGCAGCTGTTGGACACAACCTCGGGACCACCCAAGGTGAGGACGACCCAGACAAGAACGTCAATATCTGAACAGGAACCGCCCTCCATCCACGATTATGCCTGAAATTACAAGCATGAATACTCAACGTGCGAGGCCGTCGGCGAGCGGCAAGATTGGAAAATGTTCCGCCATGGATCCGCCACGCTATTAGATGCTCTAGCTGTGTAATTATATAGAGTGTGCGAGAGTTCCCCCCCCAAGAAAAAATGACAGAAATAGAGAGAGAGAGAGAGAAAAAGCCAGATCTCGTGTGGTTGCTGGAAGTGCCACCTTTTTAAGATCAGAGGTTGCGAGGAAGCCAACCGCGCTCTCCATCAGCGGTACCGTTCGGGAGCCCAAATTTCGGCGGTGGACAAACCTCCCCTTAGTCTACCTCCCCTTAGTGAAAGCGGCCTCGGACCGAACCCGACGGACCTGGACCGGCAAAAATGACGGCCGCGACGCCCTCTCGCGAACCGAAAACGGCCAATTCGCTAATCGACGTGTCAGGGTAGGAGGTCGATCCACCTCCGAACATTTGAGGATCGAGCACGAAGGGAAACCTCGCGCGATCCCCCGGCCGCCCCGAGATCAGGACGTCCAACTGTGCGAATTGGAATGCGCAGGTCCGCCCTCGTGCCCCCCTGGTACGTCGAGGCGCAGCAGAATGCAGAAGCTTCTGTTTCCAATCTGAGGGCCCCCCCTCCTCCTGCTTCCCCTCCTCCTCCTCCTCCTCCTCCTCCTCCTCCTCCTCCTCCTCCCTCCTCCTCCTCCTCCTCCTCCTCCTCCTCCTCCTCCTCCTCCTCCTCCTCCTCCTCCTCTTTGGACGCCCGGCATGGGTACGGAAGAAATGGGCACAATGCCCAGCAACAAATGTTGCCCCAGGACATCAGCAGCCGCTGTTGGGCAGGCGGCCTCCTATCTCAAATGGGCACGGGCCGCGGCGGCGCGGCCAGCGAGTCCTGGTCGAAATGAAGAGGAACTGCTGTTGGGCATTGTACCCATTCTTTCCGTACCCGTTTCGATCGTGCAGACTGGTGGACACAGGTCGCGATACAAGATGGTCAAACCATCTCCAAACGTAGCCAAAAATAGTACAAGAAATCGTCCCCAGACTATTTTTGGACTATCTTTGAATTTCCCCCTGTCGAGGGACAAACCCGACTCAAAAAGGTGGACCCGAGCGGCGTGCCTCGCCCCCCTCCCGGCGCTGCCTGGGCGGCCCGGCGCCTCCCCGGTGCTCACCGGGTGCCCTCCCAAGGCTTCCCAGCGGCAGCCCGGGAAGGCAACCCAGGCCGCCAAGATTAGGGGAACGAAGGATGACACAGACATCAAAACTCGGAGGTCCGCGCGGATTTCTCGGATCCGCGATGGAACCCCCTGGCGGCGCCTCCGGCGCCGCTCCTGGCGCGCGGAGCGCGAGAGGGAGGGGGGAGCGCCGGTCCGAGAAATCCACGCGGACCTCCGAGTTTTAATGTTTATGTGATTCTTCGTTCCCCTAAATATGTTCCGAAAAGCGTCCAGGACGGCCCACGAGGGCGCCCCGAATGCTGCCCAAGAGGGTCCCCAGAGGACCCCCAGGAGGGCCAGATTGTGTCAAAGCCACCGTTCCCCCAACGTGTTGGAGAACTGTTTGTGGGTTCTCGCTGTCTGCGCTTCCCAGGCCCAAGAGGCCTCCAAGATGGACCCGAAATGGCGCAGCATGCCCCCAAGGGGGCCCCAAAATGGCCCAAACGGCCCCTACGATTGCCCCAGACGCCTCCAAGAAGGCCCCACGACGGCCCGACCGAGGCCCCGAAACGTCCCAAGAGGCTTCGATCACCTGGGGCCCCACCCAGGGCGGCGCAGAGAGGCCCCCAATACGGATCCCCAAGGCGCCACACTGTCCAAAAACGCCCTCGTACAGCCAAAGGATCCCCCAAGAGGCCCTGAACACGCCTCCACGAGGCGCCCAAAAGGCTCCGCGAGGGGGGGAGAAAACGAATGTAGGACAACGGCGACGAACACAAAAAAAAAACCGACACGACGCGGAAAACCGTGCAATTTTTCACGGCTCCCCGAAGACTCAGGACACGAGGTGTCGCACATGACGGCCTCCTGTGTGCTCCTCGGACAACCGCCACCTACAGCTCTGAACTTACATTGTGGCGGGACTTGCGGTTGGCATCTGGATACATACAGTAATCCACTAGACATGCGTAAGGTGAAGGACAGGCGCGCTTGTCAATACGCGGAGCGTTAAACGTATGTACAGTGCATCGGACGTGTATGGAAGGGCACGCGCACGGGTCCTAAAATGACAGCGGGCAAACAATAACATAACACAGAGGTGCCGCTCGGGCCCGCTGTTCAAGCGAGGCTGTTGTACCGCGTCGGTCGGCGCATGCAAATCACGCGCCAACCAACGAAACATTATATAAAGTTGTCGGCAGCAGACAACTAAACTGAGCAGTGCTTCGCTCATTTGCGTGCCCAACTGTCCTGTCGCATGCGGCTCCACGAACAGAATTCATGGACGCGGCCCTCTCACATGCATGCTTCACTACGTCGCATTCGCGAACGCAGTTCGAGATGCGAGCGTCTGCGTCCACCTTTGCCATCGCTGGGGCCGTGAGCTACGATGACATAATAATTTAAAACCCAAGTCGCCATTGCCCGTGATGTTGGACGAACCCGTGACTTCGCCATTATAGTTGCCTGTGTCCTCGGCGGGGCTGCTGTGCTGGAGGCAACAGTTGATTGTGCCATTCCTCACTCAGCTTGACGGTGTCATGGTCGTAGCTGAGCTGGCCTTTCATGATGTCCAGGAACAACTCTCGACCGATGCTCCCCTGGTCACGGGGTCGGCCCTCATGTGTCGGGTGTCGCACCACAGCGCGTCCTCAATCAGCTCGGGGCAAATTTGATACGACAGCCGCCGCAAATGGCTGGCCATGCTGCTTTCGGACGGTGGCCGAACAAGATCCATCGCCAACGCCGCGAGAACGGAAGCGCCGTCCACGACCAGCTTTGATGGGGTGCACCTGCAAGCTCTCCGCTGCTGCGCAGGCCGCGAGCAGCTCCGCGCCGAATGATGATCTGCGCGCTAGCTTGTGCGACCGGCGCACGGCGTCGAGCAAGTGGCACGCCTCCTTGCCGGCGCGGCGGCACTTGCCCAAGCGCGTGCATGCGGCTTCTCTCATGCCGTATCCTGTCTACTCTTCCCTCTTGAAGGGCCCGTCGCTATGCTCGCAGAGTTGGCCGGCGCACTCCATTGAGGGGGAGGAGATGCGAGCCGCGATCTTCAGGCTGGACAAGACAACGGAGTTCAGCTGCATCGCGGGCCGGGGAGCATCGCGTTCCTGGCCCTCTGCAGCGCGACAACGTACGCGGCGACGCGGTGCCAGGTAAGCAGAGCGCACGCTGCTGCGCCCAGCAAGGAAACAAAGAAGTGTGGAATCCGACCTCCTGCTGGCACGTCGGCCTTCGCCTTGGCCAGTCGACGTGCTTGATCGGTATCAGGGGGTCGATGTACTCGCCCTGGTCGAGCGTGACGGCACCGCCGGCATTGCGGTGCTGACGCGCCTTGCAGTTGGCGGAGTAGTCGTCGCATGTATCTTGCCGAAACTGCCCCCGATCTGGCCGATCACCCGGTCAACGCGCGCCTTGCGTGAAGCGAACTTCAGATCGTCGACGTCGGCACCGTAGGCACTGGGCGCCTCGTGCTTGACCTCGAGCTCCGGGCCCCGCCGGGCAGGCTTGGCGCTGCGCTCTGGCGAGCGCGTGGCCTGGGCGAACTTCATGGAAGGCGGGGGGTGCTTCCTTGCAGCCCGTGCCAGGCTCGATGTAGCGCAGGCGCTTGGCCCGCTCGCCGAAGGGCACGCGGCCGGGCACCTCCCTACGGATGACGGCGCTGCCGGGCGGCAGGGTGACATTCGCCTCGCGCGGCGGTTCACCTTGTTCCTGCGGCATAGGTCATGGCCCGCAGGAAGGCCGCCTCGACGTCCACGGCGACGTGGACCCAGTCCGGCCGACGCGCCGCCCCCGAGGACTGCGCGCGCCGCGACCCACGCTTCGCTGTTCCCGCGAAAGTATTCAGGGCACCGGCGCCCATGTCGCGGGGGCTTCTGAGCGCCGCGCGGCGCCGGATGATCCCCGCGGTCTTGCGGTCGAGCCCCTTCCTGTGCTTCCACTTGAAGGAGACGCGTCTTGAAACCGTGACTGTTCGGGCGCCCTTGCGCGGTCGCCCCTGGAAATGACTGGAGATGACCAAGATGGCGAGCTTCTCAAGGATGGCTGCTGCTATATCCGTCGACGGCCTCGACGCTTCCTCGCTGGCCGGGAAGTCGGCGTCGCGCGCGATGACGGCGGTCTTGGCGGCGGCGTCTGCGTTGCAAAGCACGGCTGCGCGGAAATCGTCGGCAACGTACTTGCCGGGCGCTTCGTCGTTGAAGCTCAGAGACGCATCGCGCGCCCCTGGGTCGAGGTGGAACTCCGCGTGCATTTCATCTTCGCCCCCCCCTTCATTCGCGGGGTAGTCCACCAGGGCGGCGCCGCGCAGGAAGTGGTGGCGCTGCGCGTGGATGCCCTGGCGCTCGCGCTGCGTCTCGAAGTGCCGGGGCCCCTCGCGCGGCCGGCGGCCGTGTCCGAGTCTGGCCGCGGCGCGCTCGATAGCGGCGTAGATTTTCTGCTGGCTGTCGTCGCTTTCCAGCCCCCCCAGCTCCTGAGCAAGATCCCCTGCGCCTCGACGTCGCGCGAAGCCGCCAATCTCACCCGCTGTCTGCGGCCAGGGAAATCGCTGCCAGTCGCCGCGGGCGTAGCCGGCAGTGCTGGTTGAAATCCACCGTCTGTGGCGCTGCCAGGGCCCCACGGAACGTCAATAATATATTCATCGAGCTCTCCATCTGGTACTCGTCCTGCGTCTGGAGCAAGAAGCGCCTCGTCACCCAGGCAGAACTGGATGATGCGAGCTCCCCTCCCACCGCTCGCCGATGAGCAAATAGGCGCCGGACCTGGCGATGTCGAGGTGAATCTGTCGAATGACGCCTAAACTCTGAAGCGCCCACAAGATGACTAGGCTGCCGGCGCAACCCGGCGAATCAACCCGCATATTTCTGGCCGCGTGTCAGACGCATGGCGCGAACCTGTGGTAGGTGAGAACATCCGCGGGATACGTGGCGCAGAGCTTTGTGAAATACCTGGCGCAGGGCTTCGGGGATGTCGGGGCTGTCTGCGCGGTGATCTGCGCGCCCCTCGCGCCCCCCAAGGGCCGAATGTCTTGGCCCCTCATCCTGATATGATGTGTTCCAACAAGTCCTCCAGTCGGTCCAAGGCCAGGCATGCTCGCGCCAAGCCAGTGCCCACGTCGTCGGAGACAGCGCCGATGAAGGGTCGGACGTCCTGCAGCCTGCAGACCAGGTCGGCTCGGAAGTACATGGCGGCCACCTTGCCTCGCGCTGGGTCGACAGATGCGACGCGACGAAAACCCGCCCGTCCCGGCGCTCCATTCGTGCTCGGGGGCCTTTAATCTTCGCCTGATCGCCAAAAATGAAACGGCCCTCTCTGGATTCCGTGGTGCGTCTGGAGGGCGTGGTTGACGCGGGAGATGCGCGTGGCCTCGATCACGCGCGTCAGTGCTATCTCTCGAAGATGCCACTGCGGTCGGTTGGGCTGCGCTTCTCGCCGACAGAAGAGCCGGCGCCAGCGCCGTGGACGCAGGATGCCTAACCCCCCTGTCTGCTTCGAGCTTCAACGGCATGGACGGCTGCCTTCCGAAGACGGCGCTGCACTGTGTAACGCCGCCCACGCGGGTGAGGCTGTTGCCCGCGAAGGTCGCGTGAGCCAGCGTAGAATCGAAGTTCGCCGTGGTGTTTTCGCGCTAACTGCTCCTCTGAGGCGTGTAGCGCACGTCGTAAAATGGCTCCGCGCCGTTCGATGAAACGAGCATGCTGTCGCGGAGCTCTGATATCCACCTGGGCTCCTCGGGCGTTCATCTCCTGCGCGAAGTCCACGATGAACGCCTCCATCGCGTTGAACAGCTGGATCCACGAGCGGTAGATGGCAGCGGGCAAGGTCGAGTCGCGCTTTGAATCGATCTCCTGGCCGTGATTCTACCACGAGGCGCATCATATCAGACATGATGCTTAAATCGCGTTGAGAGGCGGAGTGCAAGGATCGACTGATGTGCAGGTGGCTGTCGTTTTCGACATTCCCTATCCTTGTGGGCCACTGTGGGGATGAGGTCGTCGATGTCTCGGGGAATGCTGGCTTCGCGAAATGCTAATGCCATCTCCTCCCTAGGGGCGTGCCACCACAGGAGGCGCAGCTCGCGAAATTCTCGCATGCGCGTTGCATGCGCGTCCCCACCTGGTGCGCGTAGCGACGCGGCCGCGTCGAAGCTAATCCAACCAGAAGAAGTCGGTTTGCCAACCGCTGCGTCGGCAGCTCGCCGCGCCGTCCGTCTCGGCTCTGCACCACTCAGTGGTTTGGCTCGTTGCCCCGATCCGGCAGCGCAATCGCCAAAACCAGAACTCTGCGGTCCAACGACACAATCGCAGGAACCACTACCCAAGTCGGCTCCGCCAGGTAGTTGAGCCTCCCCCGATCGCAGGAGTGGCGCGGTCTTCCGGGTCGTCCTTGCGCTCGTGGGCGTTGGCCGGCGCGTGGGCGTGGCCGCGTGTGGGGGTCCGCGCGCCTGCGCTTGCTGAGCTCATGAGCTTTTGCAGGGTGGTCGCGTTCCTTCTCCTCCCGGCAGCCGCGGCACTCCCTGTGGACAGGAAAACGGCACGTGACCGGGCCCCTGGTCTGTATGGGCGAATCTGCTGGCATGTCGCGCTTGCACGCTCTGCGCGCGTAGCGCGCGCGCTTGCTGAGTGGCCATTTCGGTTAAGACCTCGCCCTCCGCGGCTCCGGAGGACGCGGCTGGGAGGGCTGCCGCTTGGACGCGGCACTCATGAACGTAATTCGCGATACTCGGACGCCGTAGGCGGCGACGTAGACCCGTTCTCGCAGTCCACACTGGTCCCTGCCATTTGGCTGGAGTCCTGGATCGGGCCTGGCTCTCCTTCGCCACTCGCGTTCTCACAGGAGCTGGTCCCTTCGCTGCCTGCTGCCGCTGCCTGCCGTTCTTGCATGCCGTGGCCTGGGCGCCGTTGTTGACGACGTTTGGACTCTGCTGCGTCCCTCCGCTGGCATCCACGGATCACCTTGTCGAACTTGCCGCCACGGCGGGCTGTCTCGCCCGCGGCGTCCGCTGCCAGCTCCCATTGCTTGCCATCCTCGCGTGCCGCGGCCAGAGCGTTGTGGCTGATTGTCTTCAGCCCCCGCCTGCCTGTGGCCCACGCCGTGGCCTGAGCCTCGTAGATGATAACAACTGCCTCGCTGTCGAACGTCACCCCTTTGACATCACTACCCGTTCTGTTGTCAACCATCCGCTCCTCCTCTTCGTCCTGCCTCCCGATGCCTCCCCCATCCAGCTTCTTTCCCCCTCCTCCTCCCTCATCCTCCCTTGAGCCCTTGAGACCCGACGTCACGAAGGATGCAGCATCGTAGAACAACTCGACCGGATCCCTGGGCCCCAACTTCCTGATGCACTGTTCGAGCCGAGTCGATCCGTGAGGGACCCGGGGCCCGAAACCAGGCAAACTCGCCCGTGGCCAAAAATTGCAACGTCAGCTTCTCAGTGTCCCTCCTCCCTCCTCCTGTAGTGGAACAGTTGCATCAGTGCCACCGACTGTCCCCGCAAGCACAGCCGAGGGTTGAAAAAGAGTGTGGGTACCCCGCAGAGCTTCAGCGGAGCCCGTCGCGCCCGCCCCCTCCCCCCCCCCGGAGAGACGACGACAGAGACTGACTGCGGCGGGCCCATCCTGCCCCTCGTCCTGCCTACCTCCCTGACCCCTCCTGCCCCCCTGCTCCCGTACATGGACATTACATTCGAACCCTGTGGCCCAAGATGCCCCCCCCGACCCCCCGAAATTAATATTGATGGCGTGGCGACGGGGGGGGAGTGAGTGGACAGAAATATTCGAACCCCAAAGCACCGCCTGTACTGATATCAACATTGATGTCGGGGGCGCGGGGGTGATTTAGAATCTCCATCGAATGTGCGAGGGTTCGAATATATTGTCCATCTGCTGTCCCCCGTCCTGCCTCCTCTCCCAGGCGCCCCCCCCCCCCCTCGTGGCCGCAGGCCCGCGCAACCCCGCCTGCGGAGCTGGAGGAGCCGCGCGCCCCGCACCCTGGCGGGCCGTCGCAGTCGCCGTCGCTGCCGCCACCGCCGCCGCCGCCGCTGCCACCGCTGTAGCCGTCGTGGCCGCCGCCGCCGCCGCCGCCGCCGCCGCCGTCGCGAGCCATTACGTGTTCAAGGGCTGCGACTGACTCGTCGTCGTCGCCGGTCGAGGTGCTAGGGACCGTCGCAGATCGGTCGAGGTGCTAGGAACCGTCGCAGAGCTCGAAGGAGCGGTCTGAGTCGCTGGCGCCGCCGCCACCGCCGCCGCCGGTCGTCGTCGTCGTCGTCGCCATCGCCGCCGCCGCCGCCGTAGACATCAACGTTCTCGGCATCGTCGTCCCTCCTCCTCCTCCTCTTCCTCCTCCTCCTCCTCCTCCTCCTCCTCCTCCTCCTCCTCCTCCTCCGTCTCCTCCTTGTCCTCCTCCTCCTCCTCCTTGTCCTCCTCCTCCTCCTCCTTGTCCTCCTCCTTCTTGTCCTCACTCCAGCATCTTCCTCCTTCCTCCACCTTTATCCGCCTCATCTTCGCTTCCCTCCTTCAACTCTGTGTCCTCCTCCTCCGCGTTCTCCTCCTCCACGTCGTCCCCCTCCTCCTCCATCACATCCCTCCCCCTCTTTCTCCACCTCCTCCCTCCCCCTCCCTACGGTCCTGGGGCCCGCAACCCTCCCCTCCTATTCCTCCTCGTTGCTCGTCTTCGTTCCTCCTCGTTTCCCTCCCTATCTGCCTCCCTCCCTCCGTCCTGCCCTCGTCCCTCCTCCTTCACGTCTCCCTCCCTCGCGCCTTTTCCCCTTCCCCTTTGCCATCATCCTGGTCCTCTTCCCCGCCCTCGCAGGGAGAGGAGGAGCAATAGGAGGCGGATGCGGAGGAGGAGGAGGAGGAGGAGGAGGAGGAGGAGGAGGACCAGCATGTTCTGCTATGTCTCCCTTCAAGAGCCCTGCGAATGCAGGATGCAGCGCCGCAAGACCCCCGCTCCTCCAGCGCGGGGGGTCCGAGAGGCCACCGGCGGACGGCCCAGAGGAAGCCCTCCGCGTGTGCTGGGGCCGTGGGCAGCGAAGGCGGGCTCCCCGCCCGCCGCCTGGGGCCACAGCCCTGTGATCCTTCGCGGGCTGCCCAGGGCGTCCCTGGCCCAAAGGGTCCCAGCTTTGCACGCTCGTGGTTTGCCCCCCTCGGGGCCCTCTGGGGGGGGGGGCCTCGTGCGGGGCGCCCGTGGAGGCCACGGGGACGTCCCTGGAGATCCTGGAAGGCACCTCGGGCCATGGGGCACCTCTGGCAACACCCGACACTACGGAGTGCTGATTAGGCGTGCCACTTCAGGATAGGCTTGGGAGGTCTAGGAAGTGAACAGCCGATCCCGCCTGAGTGCCTTTTGATAGTAAGATCCACCCGATCGACCTGAGATCAAGATGGCGAGCGGGAAAAAGATCGAATACGGGGAGAAAAAATACTAGAACTCTAACGAATTGTCGAATTTCGAGAAATCCATTTTAGATAAGCAAAACAAAGACAAAACTTCCGTAGTTACGCGGAGGATGGTGAAGAGGATCATAATCAGAAAAAGCAGCCTGGGCAGACGAGGGAGCTGGGAGGAGGATCCGGCCTTTGGGTCAAACCTCGGGTCTCGGGCCAGCCTCTCGGGACGCTTCGATGCGCCCCCGGACCGCACTTCAGGAGCCGCAGCTGCGGAACAGCACCCCGACGCAGGGCAACCTCCAGGTGCCGACGAACATCCCCGAACCCCTAATCGATTCCTGTCCTGCGACGTCGCACATCCTTTGTGTTGAGACACGGGGCTCCTGGGATCTCGACCGCTTCCTCGGGGTCGGCTTTTCACTCCGAGTAGTTATTTGACAGCCCCGAGGCCGAGAAACGACCGATACCGCTACTCCCCAGGCATCTCCAGGGATGCATTCTGGCCAGAATTTCGAAGAGAAGTCACCCGTGGCGGCGAGGGCCCTCCAGGACGAGCAGCGGTATCGGCACATCTCTCTCCTGAGTCTAGAGGCCTCCCATATGGAGTCGGAGAAGATGGGGTCAAAGGATCGAGCCGCATCGCCGATGCATCACCGATGCATCGGCAATGCATCGGTGACGTCGGCGTGGAGAAGATCGGGCTCCGCATCGAGCCGCATCGCCGATGCCTGGGCGATGCGGCGCGATCCTTCGACCCCATCTATGGCGATCCCATCTGATAAGCCTGCGGTCAGGAACTTGTGCACAGCGTGTCGCCGCGACGGCCTTGGCGGCACGCTATGCCTTGCAAACAGATAGCGCGTCGGCCAGAACCGGAGGCGCAACACGCTGAGCCAGAGGTTCCGACCGCAGAGAGCTCACAGCCCTGGGCCCCGAAGGGGGCGAGGCTGGGCCCACCTTGGCTCACGTCCAGCGCGTAGCCAGACGGTGCGGATACCGCTGCTCCCCGACCTCTCCTGGAGCGCACTCCCGCCAGCAGCTCGAGGAGAATCCACCTGTGGCGACGAGGGCCCTCCGGGACGAGCACCGGCATCGCTGCAGTATATCTTCCTTCCCTGAGCCCGCAGCAGCCCCAAGCCCTTCGCCATCAGGATTTTTCCATGACGTGGACCCCCAACGGTCCGGACCCCTCCCCCAGGACCGGTTCTTCATCCCGAGTCGTTCTTTGACGGTCCAAAGGCCCAACAAGGCCCCCCCGGAGGCCGAACATAGCGACAAGACCGCCACGGCTTTTCCATGACCGGCCCCGAAGGTTGAGCAGGGACCGACCGTCCCGGCATTCCTATAGTCCTACCACGAAATGTTCTTAGAACCCAAAAATGTTTTAATAACAAAAACAATGTTCTTAGAACATAAACCCGATGTGCTAAAACAAGACAGACTCCGCCAGAAATGTTCTAAGAACATTTCGTGGAAACCACAAAAGGTTCTTAGAACATTGTTTGGTGGGGCTATAGGCGAGCCAGGACGCTTCGCCACTGCTTGACCCAGAGGCCGAGCATAGCGGCAAGACCGCCATGGCTTTTCCATGCCTGGCCCCGAAGGAGGCGAGGCCGGGCCCGCCTTGGCTCGCGTCCAGCTCCAGCAGCAGCTCGTAGTCCTCCGGCGTAAAGTCGCCTGCGGCGCGGGGCGCCCGCCGGCAAACCCAGCCCGAGGAGTGGCGTGGCCGCCCCTCTCTGCCAGTCCCTTGCTCCCCTGGCCCCTCCTCCTTGCACAAGCGCAGAAAGAAGAAAGAAGACGAAGAAGAAGACGAAGAAGAAGAAGAAGAAGGAGAAGAAGAAGACGAATAACAATAACAATAATAATAATAATACGAATACGAAAGAAGACGATGCATACGAATATGTATTAGACGACGAAGGGAAATATAACAACAATCCGAATCATGAAGGTAAGACAACAACACATGATGAGAAGACAGCGAACGGTATTAATCAACACCCATACTAGTAATAGGATGAACATGCCACATCCGAGACATCAGACACACCGACATACGAATCGTAATAATAATATCAATAATAAGCAACGAGCAGCAACAGCGGCATCCACTAGGACGCCCACGAGGCCTCGCTTCGCCTGTCAGTCGGCAGAAGGTTGTGAGCCTCTTGAACAACAAGGAGCACACCAATAAGAACACTGGTCATGCTACTGGCCAGCTGCATCTGTAGAACCTTTTGGAGGTCCGCGCGGGTGTCTTGGATAGCGTCGTTGAGCCCCCCCTCCCTGTCGCGCGGAGCGCGCACGGGGCGGCGCTGGAGGGCCGCCGGGGAGGTCCCAGCGCCGATCCGAGACATCTGGGCGGGCCTCCGAGGCTCTGTGCCGCTGCTCTGCTTCGATCCTAGCGGAGGGCATAAACGACCCCAACCGCTCCCCGACTCCGTGGGGCCCCAGATCTCCGACGACATGATTTGTTCAATCCCGCCAGTGACCCTCGATGCAATCGAAGCGGATGCAGTGCTGTGCCCTTCCCCGCCTCCCAGAAAAAAAAAACATGCCGTGAGAGGCCTGGGTCCCTGCTTGGACTGTTCTCCTCTTGGCCTTCCCCGTCTCGAGGAGGCAGGACGAGGAGCATCGAGGTTCCAGGACTGAAAATCCACGCTTTGAATGCTCTTCGGTCATTTTGGGGGGCGTCTCGGGGACCCATGGAAGCATCCAAAGACCTCTGGAAACTTCTCGAGAGGGAGCAGGAGGAGGGGGGGCAGAACAAGCTAGGTGCGCTCGCGTCATATCTGACGTCCTACCCCTCCCTCCCATCCGTTACCATGCCGTAGATCTCCTCTCAATTCGCACAGTCGGATGTCGAGCAGGGCAGTGATCCCGAGAGGGTGCGCGATGCATCGTAGAGCACGGCGTAGACGGGCGTAGAAGAGCGCGGCAGAGCGTAGTATGTCATTGCATGGCGTGGCGTTGCGTAATGAATACTTGCATCACAAGCATTGGCATCGCACACCGGCACATAAAGGAACATTCCATAGCATTGAGTTGAATATCAAAGCAAAGCATGGCATAGCATGGCGTGGCACTGCGTAGTCAAGCACTGCATATCCTACCATTGCAACTGGAGGCATGACATCGCACAGCGGAACAACACATAGTAGGGAACCGAACTCTATACACCGACGCTTTCTCTTGCCCTGCACTGACATCTGCAGCCAGGAAAGCGGATCCTGGTGTATACGGAACCCTGGTGTATACATGTTTCGCTGTTTCCCGGGGGAAAGCGGGAAAAGGTATACACCACACCACCCCGACGTCGTCCCCGACCCTTAAGAAGTCGTGGGATTGACAGACAGCCCGCCACTGGTAATGTATATGTTCCGGTTTCCGACATATCATTGCATTGCATGCCGTGGCATGGCACTGGAAATGATGACGCAGCACTGCAACGCGAGCACGATTCGGAACGAGCGGAAGCGCGGAAATGAGGCCAGAACTGCAGCGGGAACATGATTCGGAACGATCGGAAGCGCAGAAATGATGCCAGCGCTGCAGCGGAAGCCCGATTCGGAACGAGCGGAAGCCCGAACATGAGGCCAGCGCTGCAGCGGGAGCAACATTTCGAAAACAAACCCAAGCGAAAACCCTACTCCTTGAATCCAGTGTGAAAATGGCCTAACGAAGAGCCCACTGGGGCCGTAGCTGGGGCTCCCTACAGGGCCACGGAACTTGTGAGGGGTGTGCCGAAACGGGGGTGACGCCCACATGCGGACGGTGCCCCTGGGGCTTTGGGTGGAGCTCCCAATAGAGCCACAAAACGTGTGAGAGGTGTGCCGAAACGGGGGTAACGCCACCATGTGGACGGTACCACGGGGGCCTTAGATGGAGCTCCCTATGGGGCCACGAAACGTGTGAGAGGTGTGCCGAAGCGGACTGATGCCCACATGCGGCAAGTTCTTCTGGGGCCTTAGCTGGAGCTCCCTATGGAGCTGCAAAACGTGTGAGGTGTGTGTGTGTGTGTGTGTGTGTGTGTGTTGTGTGTGTGCCGAAACCAGGGTGGCGCCTATGTGGACGGTACCACTGGGGCCTTGGGTGGCGCTCCCTATGGGGCCACGGAACGTATGATCTGTGTGCCGGAACGGGGGTGACGCCCACATGCGGGTGGTGCCACTGGGGC